AATAATCATGCAAATTTTAAAAAAAAGTTACGCGAGTAAGTTGGGGGATGTGTGCTGACGTCGGGCGAGGACACTAAGGTACACTTTAATATCATGGCTAACCCTCTACTAGACCAACGGCGAGCGGGTGTATGTCGGGGGGTGTTCGCTGACCTTGGGCTAGGTAATTGAGGCACATTTTTTAATAGTATCCCTAACCCCGACCAGAATAACTGTGAACTAGCGAAAAAGTTGGGAGGTTGTGGAAATTCACCCTGATTAAAATTTGTAAGTAAGCGGTTCTTCCTACGGTTAATTTATAAAGTCATTTTACTTAATAAACTGACTTAAGCGGTTATTGTACATGGTGGCTTTCCGAGGACCCGTCTGCAGTTCAATATCATCATCCAATCCCTAATGGACCAACGGTTGGCGTGCGAAAATTTGGGAGATTGTGGAAAATTCAACCTACTTACAATTTGTAAGCAAGCGGTTAGTAAACATGTTCACCGTTTTAAAACCCCTCTATAGATCCCTGCCGGAAAATTTATATCAATTACTTGTTAGGGACCCTTGACAAACTTGGCAGTTTAGGCTTCGTAAAAGATGTCTACTGCTTGGGCAGGGACGGCGACGTGTGCATTAATTAATTTGTTGTGATCTCAGACCTTCGCAGCATCTACCGCACTCTCTCCCCCCTCCTCACCCACCGGAGCCAATTTTCACGATAAAGACAAGAAGGCCAAGGGCGGGATCGGGCGCAATGGCTGCCAAAAACAAACAGCCCGCCTACGTTTACCGCAAACTCTGACCCGCGTACAATAGATCATGTTTTCACATAAACACGAAACACACTGCTCGGGTTCCACCTGACCGTCATAGTTGTCATGTAAGGAAGGAGCCATTGCAACTTGGGTCTCCGTTCGTGGAGGAGGACCGAGGTATGCCATCATTTTGCAGACTTTCAAGCTGCGGCTTCAGCGCACCGTGAGAGTTTGGAAGCCATGTGCTGTTGTATTAGCGACTTTCGCCAGCTACTTATCACCAGCCTCGGAACTGGGTTCCCAGAGACGGACAAGTTCCCCATTCAACCACGCGCCCCTTATCACTCGTCTTGACCGCCGGTTCGCCGAGACACGGACATTTTGACCTCAATCCCCATCGCCTCTGACAACTACAATACTGCATCTGCCCACCAACCAGCATATTTTATTTATTTCATCACCATGACTGTACAGGCCTGAGGAGGATCAATAGAAAGCAAACGTATGTTCGCCAGTTTATCCTTTGAGATTCAAATTTGTCAGATTTATTTTAGTAAATGATGCATTGAAGTTCCGTCGCGGGTGGGCCCCCATATTTGAAAAAAGTACTTCGATTTTTGCCGTCAGAATGGGTCAGTGTTTAGGCTTAGGATTTGGTTTATTTTTGAGGTTTGCTGTAAGGCTTCGGGCTACTATAACGCTTAAGTTTAAACCACGACATAGTTCCAGTGCAAAGTAACAGTTTACTCCCAAACCCCCTTTCGTAATCCCAATACCGTTTTGATAGGGCCCTCCGGGCGCTGACAATATAGCGGTTTATTAAATTCGATTCTTAACCCCCAATCGAACCCTAACCCTATTAGCAAGCCTATACATGTGGGAGCCTGCTGAGCTGACTCACGCTCCCTTTTTTGCCAAACCGCGCAGGCTCACTGTCTACTTGCGCCCGCTAAACCCCCACGCACTCTGTCAACCGCTGCGAGAGGCCCATCATGTCCTGACGGCTTTATGCTCTTCCTATTTGCTCGCGGCTTAATGCGCATGTCATTTCCAGCCAATTGATGCGCGCCTGTCTGCCTGGCTGGTTGCACCGCCCAATAAGAACATTCGGCATTCAAGCCTTCACAGCACCAAACACAACTTCGCGGACTGACTTGGCGAACACTCGCAGTTGGCTCTGGCGTAAAACAAAGCCTTTTTATCTATCCACTTTCCGGCAGTACACTTCTGTCCACCAACACTGTGTTGCTGGGCTTATAATCTGGGGGAATCTACTGCTTGTCGACGCAAATATTTGCGATATTCACAACCCTTCTGGTAGCCTGCTCTCAGTACTGCTGCGCTGGCTCATCGTCTCTTCGTTCGCCAAGTTAGCAGTTGCCCAATTATCGGCACGCGTGGGTGTCCGTCACACGCTCTTGTCTGTCTCTCGGTCGGGTAATGTCCACATATTGGCCCTTTCGCCTAGCGAGTTCGACGCTAATTACTGTGTACCTTTTCCTGATTGGCTGAGGCGACATAGGAATGGATAGGCGTGCCTCTCATCTTTCGCGCAAAGGCGCACACCCACACACTTTCGCGGACTCAACTAGCCTTTGAACGCAGTGTTTGCGATAACTTGGCAGCGCCTGCTGTAAATCCCTTTTCCGTGCAGTAAAGCTCTTCCTGTCAGCTCTGCCTTACCTGACTCTTGATTTGGGAACCGTCTGGTGGCGACACAACTACCTTTCGACATCCTCACTTGTCTCCACCTCATTATTTCCTTTTATATTATGCATCCGGGCGTACGGTTTTGCCCGTCCGTTGGTAAAGCCGCCTCCAACGCCATGCTTTGTACAGCGCCTGTGAATGACCTGCAAATATCCTTTAAGAACAGACCGCAATCTACCTCGCCAACGATGTGCAGACTATTTTCGCAGGTTCAGCTTGAATTCCACGTAGTCTGCTTGAGTTTGGTGGGCGGGATTCATACACGTGTGTGTTTTGAATATTAGGATCTTTTGGGCTTTAATAGCGTACTAAAAACGTTGCTTCACAATGTTACTGCACCAATTTACACAGGAAGGTGAGTTATTTCCCCTTACATAGAAGAATTGTTCCTAATTCTCAGGGAAGTCAAAAAACAGTCACAGTTGACAATTTTTGTCTTGATTTAATCTTCGAAAAACAAAAGGTTTGTACGCAGATAGCTGACGTCGGAATACCTAGGTAAAGCTCCTTTTCAAGATATAAGTTGTTATACAAAGCTTTTGGCAAAATGTCTTGTACGGTCACCCAAATATCTATTTCCCCACCCAACTTTCCAACGTAATTTGTGGTAAAATATATATTTCTTAGTTAGCAAGTGTAAATGTATATTTAACTGTGTTAGAAATGATCAAAATATATTAAATTGAAGAAACTTATAATTATCAGTATATGTGAGGGATATGTAGGTGGGTTGGCTTTGAGTTCCTTATCTGTACAAGTGCGCTGTTAGTAGCAGAAAAATAGTACCTCAGTTTGTTGGCGAGGCCAATTGACCTGAGCCATGAGATGGATCCTAGTTTTCATAAAGAGCAGACAGTGAAAGAAAACTCCTTGGGATATTTTAGGAGAAAAATCTTTCGCCGTTGGGGGAAGGAGCCAACGGGTTCAGAGTTCACCGGGATCATCATCGAGTGCGGAAGATGCGGCCTGATGCTTCCTTGCTGACTGCAGAGACCACCTACAAGTTTGTAAAAACAGAAATATCCGTCCAGATCGTCGACAGTCCACTGCGGATCGAACCAAAGGAAAGCGTTTAGGCCGCCAGCTTCAGCTGATTCGATCGCTGATGGTGTCATCACGGTATGTTGATAGCCAAATAGGGAAGACCGCGGAGACCATCGGATGGGATTAATGGTGGGAGAGCGCAAGCCATCGGTTCTCATATGTAAAATAGTAGATATAAATATTCCTGAAATATAGCTAGTAGTATTACAGTTTTGCGTTTTTTGCCGTGAATAGACGTTAGGTTGAAGGGGAAAACTCCTTACCATAAAACATTACGTTATAAAACAAATAATATTAAAATATACAAAGTAGTATCATATTTGCAAATTTTCGGAGGTGGCCATTTCATATTGTAGCGCGCACTGCTATACTGATCAAACTTTCGTTTAAAAAAACTCAAGGGATTCTGACATAACGACATCCAGAAGAAGAGAGTTCCTAGCTTCGACCAACCTTTTGGAGAATAAAGTACTTCTGATCGTGCAGGCTGGCCCTAGTCACACGTAGTTTGAGAGAATGAGCTCTCAAGTTTGTTATTGCTAACTAGGAGAAATCTCCTAATACAAGACAGCAGTCCTGAACGCGCAATATGCGGAATGTTATTATAAGCTCTTCCCGATGTTGAATGTAGCGCAGAGGGAAGAAATTGAGATATGGCATAAGACTGTGAGCACTGTCCAAGGACAAGTTTGGCTGCACGCCTTTGAATCTTTTCGAGGGTGTTGATGTCTTTCACCGCCCGGAATCTCCAAGTTTGGATAGCGGACTCCAGTTTCGACCGCACGGA